GCATATGCAGCAGGGAGACCTTAACGTTGAAGTTTGCTGATGCGCGAGCCGCGAGGCTGTGGTTTCACAAGGTCACAAGGAATGGGAGGCTTTCCTTGTGTTCAGAGTTAGATGGATGGAGGGATGTCAGTGCTTGAGGGTTCAGTGTCCATCTTCCGCCTGCGCCTCAAATATCTTGAGCGCTTTTCCCGGCAGAAGCAATGCAGGCTGAATGCAACAGGGTCGTGTGGTGGCACTTCTCGAGGCTGCAGGCTTCGTAGGGACAGAAGCAGGGACCCCGGGCTGAGTGGACCGCTTTCTAAACCTCCTCAAGCACGAGAGCCTGAGAAGCTTAGTGAAAGGAAGAAATCGTGTACAAGCCTACATCCCTTAAAGAATGGCAAGGGCAAAAAGACAGCTACACAAGCGGTACAAGTAAGTCAACACCCTACACTATTTAAACCCTAAGTGAGCCCTAAAGCTGCCCGACACCGCACTCAAAAACTACCCTACACCCCACTCAAAAACTACCTCAACGCATGCATGAAACTACAAAGCCTATGAAGGCCAGAGGAAACGAGTAACCCATCTCTGACGCGGTTCTACGACTTCTTGGCTACACGGGCCGTGAATCCAGGTCAGGGGCTTGGGTCTCAGGGCTCAGGGTGCACTGCAACTCTTGCCCTGCCGGTCAAGGTGCCCTAGGTTGGCTGGTTTTAGGTCCTGAACACTACAGTCTGGATGGTTTTCGGGACCTATGATGCTAGTTTTTGTAAACTTGGAGAGTTGCGGCCGCGGCCTGGGCAAGGGTATGAGTGTCTAGGACAAAAAATTGAAGAGCGACTTCCATTCTTGGACAAAGTTAGATCTTTACAGAGACAAACCGACACATACATACATGCATGCATGCATGCATACATACATACATACATACATACATACATACATACATACATTACATACAAACATACATACATACAAACATACATACATACATACATACATGCATGTACGTACGTACGTACGTACGTACGTACGCATGCGCGTATGTACACGTGCACGTGTGTACGTGTGCAGGCGTGTTATATAATGTATTCTAATGTAGTGTAGTGTAATGTAATGTAACGAATGCAGCGTAATGTAATGTGTGGATGCATGTATGCATGCAGGCAGTCAGGTAGGCAGGTAGGTAGGTATCCATGCCGGCAAATGTATGTTTATGCCTAGGCCCGAAACACCTACGATTTATGTGTATGAGCATGTACTGCTGTGCGACGGTGCCAGGTGCTCCTTTGCCCCCCGCACCGCCCGAGTTGAGTGAGACAATCTTGGCGCCACCTGCAGCCGCAGTGGCACAACTGGACAAGGTGGCTGGAGGTAATTGGTGTTTAGGGCTTTGGGTGCGGAATTGGGGTGGAGGCTTATGCTTGCAGTGTGGGGTTTTGGGTTTGGGTCTAGGCTTGTGTGTAGGGTTTTGAGCTTTGGAATTTCGGATGTACAATAGATGTATGTGGTGTTTTGGTTTTGGGTGCAGGGTTTGGGAGTTCGGGTTTGGATGCAGGCTTTTGAGTTTACAGTTCTAAGACCTAGGACACTAGGGATGGAGGAGATCGTGCGCCACCTATAGACCTCCTGCACTACAAATGACACTCGGGTGAGGATATTGTGGATCTGCTGCATGGCGCAGGCAGGGAAACATTCTGGTGACTCCCGTACCTCAACCCCCACCATTTGGAAATCCTGAGCCCAAAACATCAGCATGTGTCCCTCTCCTAAGGATCGGAATATATTAGGGTATGCATCAGGGCCTGCATTCAGGAAATTGCCATGTAAAAAGCGCAAACTTACAACCCTTTAAGATCAGTAGTATCATGCATACCTTCAAACCCTAATCGAAGTATTCAGACACTACATTCTATTTGCAGAAGAGCGGGGAGTTGGAGAGTCAACCTGGATACGGCTTGTAGACACTAGACACGATGTGATATAGAGCTGCAGGTTCACATGAGATGCTGCACTGAGTGCATACATTGGGTATTGCCCCCACTCATTAACAGTTGGACAATATGGATAATGCAACTGTATAGAGGCCTTAATATGACCCCTATTACGGACTGTTAATGGGTGGGTGCAGGACCCAATGCATACACGCGGTATTTGGAAAAGACTAGGTGTTCTTTGAGATGGGAAGTGATATGCAATTTTTCTTGGATGGTTTTCCAGTGGTAAAGGGGACCCTAACATACACCCCGGTATATTCTCATCCTTCTTATAGGAATCTCCCAAAAGCAAGCCTAGTTTATGGAAATCCTCTTATACCCCTCAAAATCCAAGATTTTGTAACCCTAAACCCTATATGACACGTGACCCCCGACATAACCCCCTGTTTCCCGCTCGGGTTATGCACGCCTCCCAGATTTTCATTCCTGAGGTTTTCCCCGAGAATGACAGAGGTCAGCTGAAGACACTCTTCGGTCGCTGGGACAGTTGAGTCACACTGTCAGTATGGATATCATAACAGATTTAGGGCTTGGGGTTTGGGGATACTATAACTAGAGTCCCCACTATGTAGTAAAGCTAGATTCTCCTTTCAGCTGTGGTATCTTTGTATAGTCCCGCTTGAGTAGATACAATATGGCTTTGGGTATACTAAATCTAGTTTTTTTTTTGGGGGGGGGAGGGGTGGGTGTGTGGGGTTGGTCTGCTTTATAGGGGAATAATTTACATCCCACAGGCCAGTACAATCTCAAACACATGTCCATTGGTAAGCCTTTACCTTTCCCGATTCGGGTACAAGGAACCGAATAGAAGCCAACAGCTCAACCACAAATATTGTAATGGAGACATCAGACTACCATGAGAGGCTAGGTGTATGCAAATACTTTGTTGCATGTTACATAAAACATCATACCCTAAACCCTCTGCAGGCACATGAGCTGTCTTGTTAACTCCGTTACGTCAGCTCCAGGTCTAGAGAAGGTGGAGAAAGCAGCTGGAGGAAAGGGTGGCGTCAAGCGATTCTGGCGTGAGGCGCAATATAAACATAAGTATATATATACACATGTGTATATGCATTCAAAACGAAAACTGGTATTATCATTACAGTTGTGACACCACGCTTCAGGATTATGAGGTTGCTGGGGAAATTGGGCTTCGAGATCATGTCATCCAACCGAGTCAGCCTGGAAAAACCCTGAGCAACACCCCAAAGCCGAAACCAAAAAGCAAGCACTGTCCTGCAGATAGCAATCAGCAGTTGCTTGACAATTCTTGGGGCAACCCTTCAGCGTTTTGCACGCACCCCTTGCTTGTTGCTGGTTTTGGGTTGCTGTAAGTCCCGTAGCTTCGCTCTCGAATCTATGAGGTATACTGGTATACTGGAAAGCTTGATTCCCACGTATGCATGCGTTCTTGCTAAGCCTTGTGCTGTGGCTGTTGCAACCCTGAGTGATCCCTTTACAGACCCTCAGCATGCTTGCATACAGTTTAAGTAGTTGTGCAAGTGTGTTATCCTCATGGTTGTAACTAGGGGAAAGCTCCTAGTACTTTTGAAATGGGATTCGAATGATTCATGATAACGATTTACAACATATACAAACAAACACGGCCGGTAAAGGCTAGCTTACCGGCGTTTCCTTATCCGGACATTTGGGTCCATTAAAAGCCGTATGTCACCAGGGCCCTAGACCATGAGACGCCCTGAGAGCCGACTGATCCCCGGACTAATGTTGGGCCCTCTTTAAT